CATTACTCACAATAGCCAAAAGGTAGAAGCAGCCCAAATGCCCGTTGACAGATGTGGTATATCCATACAATGGAGTATTATTCAGCCTTAAAAAGGAAAAAAACTGACACATGCTACAACATGGATGGACCTTGAAGTAATTATGCTAAGTGAAATAAGCCAGTGACAAAAAGACAAATACTGTATGATTCCACTTAGAGGAGGTAACTAGAGTCATCAAGTTAATACTGACAGAAAGTAGAAGGCTGGTTTCCAGGGGCTGGGGGGAGGGGAGGATGGGGAATTGTTGTTTAATAGACACAGAGATTCAGTTTCAAAACATGAAAAGATCTGAGGATGGATGGTGGTGATGGTTTTACAACAATGTGAATGTACTTAATACCACTGAACTGTACACTTACCAGTAGTTAAAATGGTAGATTTTATGTTACGTATATTTTACCATGATAGAAAAAAAGAGTCGTGCAAAGTTACTGTTAGATCAGCTCATCTGATGTCCTATTAAAACACACGGTCTGCATAGCTGGTTGGATGAGTCTGAGCTGAGCCAGTTTCTCCTGCACGCTATAGCTTAGATAAGCTAAGTTCAGCTTATCTGTTTTGCCAGTTACAGGACACTTTTTCCAAGTCGTGATTTCTGTTTCAAGTCTCAATTCCCGCATCTCAGACTAGCTGCTGGCAGAGGTGTCTTGGACTTTTTCAGTCTCGATTGTTTGTTTATTCCTCTTAACAACTGAAAGGAGTGGATTCGAGATTCCAACCCAAAGCCACTGTAATGCTCAGCCCGGGCGTTTTGACTGTAGAGTTCCCCTAAAAGTTAAAGCCAGTCTTTGAGATCTGCACCATCAGTTTGTCCCTAATCCATAACAAATGCAATTCAACAGTGTCCACCGTAAAACACACCGGTCAAAGGGCATTCCTGGCCTGCAGGACCTCACAGACTGAAGGACAAAGCAAGTATTACACAGTCAACTGTAGGAAAGTATGATAAATTCTAGAAAGAAATGATTCAGTGCCAATGTAAAGCAGTTACATAACTCTATATAACATAGGACGTGCTTACGTTTGGTTAAAATCCTTTGACAAAGAAAGGAGCCTCCTTTTTGATTACCAGAGATGAGATTCAAATTTAAAACGGGAACCCTACTGGAAAATGTAGCACGGTTACTTAGGTTTCTCTGAAGTATAAAATGATGGTGTTAGCATCTTTCCTAAGAGTAGATTTAGATAAAGCAGAGAAAGAGGGCAACATAATTCCCAACGTATGTACCATAATTTAAAGCCAGGGTCGGCAAACCTTTTCTGTAAAGGGTGGGGGTAGTAAATATTTAAGGCTTTGCTGGCCATACACAGCCAAAGACATCATGTAAACAAATGAGTATGGCTGTATTCCAAGAAAATTATTTATGAACACTGAAATTTGAATTTAATGTAATTTTGACAGGTCATAAAATATTATTCTTCTTTTTAATTTTTTCCACCCATTTGAAAATCTAAAAACCACCCTTGGCTCTCCGGCTGTAGGAACACAGGCAGCACACTGAATCTGGCCTGCTGCTGTAATTTGCCAAGGCCTACTTTCAAGGCTGCTTCTCCAGGTGTGGGGCTCAGGCCAGCAGCATGAGCATCACCAGGAGCTGTCAGAAGACAGATCCACTGGGGGAGAATCTGCACTTGACCACATCACCATGTCTTTGATTTGCACATCCCAGTTTGAGAAGTACTGGTGTAGGTCTACGCAGACTCTGAAGCCAGACTGTGAGTCCCAGGGCTAGAATACAGCTTCCCAGAGAAGCGGCCCTGGGAAGGCCTCAGCCGCTCGGTGCCTCAGTTTCCCCATGTGCAAGAGGGAAATGACAGAGTTGTCTCTCTCATCAGGGTTGTGAGAATTGCACACACACTAACACACATGCACAGCTTAAACAGTATTTGTCGTTACTATCACAAAATCTCACATTATGTTATTTTTCACAGCCACCCTCTTAAACAGGCATTGTTTACTCCATTTCACATGAGAAACTGTGGCCCAGGGAACTAGAGAAACTTGTCTAGGGTCACAAAACAAAAGTCTTTCTGTGTCCAGTAATTTAATCCTGAGGATAATGAGGAGTTCAAGGGTACCAAAGGGGGACACACTCCCCAGGCTCCAGGTCTCCATGTCCACGTGTCCCTTCTAACATCCACCGAGTGGCCTTTTAGCCCATGCCCCTTAGACACTCCCCCACTCCCCATGCGCACAGCTCCCCAACTCTGCCACACAGGGATCTCCCTGAATCTGTACCCCAAGTTACCCTTTCATTCCTTGAAATTTATCTTCCCTTAAGTTGCATAGTGTTTTTTGTAACTTTTCTTTCTAGTTATAGATTGTAAATTTTCCCTCTGCTGAGTCTTGTAGCTGACTGTTTTTCATTATATTTGTAGGGCTCAGGGGGGAAAAAAAAAGGCAACTCTTTTATTTGAGAATCTTGACATTTATTAGCATAATAAAATTCTCAAGATGAAATCGCAGTTTTCTAGACATTAACTTCATTTTCAGGACAACTTACAAGGAATTTATTTTAAGGCCAGGTAAAACCTAAAATATATGAGACATGCAGAAAGTGCAGGCCCCAAATAAAATGAAATAAATGTGTTAGGCGTGAAAAACTCAGCTGTTGTCTCCCACATATTAATTAGGGGTGACAGGAACAACAGCTCAGGGATTCAGGTTCTCAACCCATCTTGGTCTGCTTTCAAAGCTGCTTTGGAACAAGAAGTTTCTTCTCGTTAATTTCTTCTCACACCTTGAGAATCATCACATCACATCTCCTGACACGTCACTGCTGAGCACATTGCTGCTGCTGTCACTGCAGTTGTCAATAGCAATATCTTTCATCTGGATAGGCTTTCATGTTTATCAGTTAACTGATCTGCCAAGAAACCTAATGAGGGCCATACAGAAAGTTCTCCTCTGTTATGCCGAGCTTTAGTGACATTAAATGACTTGAACAAAGTCACACAGTCGGTAAGTAGCACAGCCAAAACTAAAATTCGGTTCCTCTGGGGCTAATAGAAAGAAGGTAATTATAATAATAATCAGTTACAGTTTTAAAGCACTTTTTAAAGTTCAGAGAGCAGGTTCCCACAATCACTTTATTTTATCCATTCAGGGGCCCTGTGAGGCACATAGAGATGAAAGAGAAGCCATGGAGTCAGGTTGCAAAATTGATATTATTGAACACATTTGTATGATGGGTCCCTACCTGGCTTTCCCAGAAGGCAGAGCCTGAAGCAAATGCTTATGTGCTGCTACTTTATTCAGGAGAGCAATCCCAGGGGAGCAGGAGAGAGGGAGAGGGAGAGGGGGAGGG